TAGCGGAACCAAGGCACTCTTTCTCAAGGGTGCTTTGTACCTTAGCAATCTTCCTTTCTGTCTCTTTCTGGGAAAATTAGGTCTTACAAAGTTGAACAAGTTCCTCCTCTGTAGGGTAGCTGAACAAGTTCCTCCTCTATAGCTACTCAGCTTTGCAAGGCTAATTTCCTCTGCCAATAGGTAACACTTTCTTCCACATTTTTTTTTTTTTAACATCCTTATTTTTAAGAAACATTTTAGCAGTTGTCTTATTCTAAAGAGGTAACTCAAAATAATATCACCATGGTCTTTTTCTTTGTTTCTAAACTAAATTTACAGCTGTCCTTCCCATGTGTGTTTCCTTTTTCAGGCTGAAGCTGCAAAATTCACTTGAGCTCCAGAGAAAAGCATAGCTGTTCAATGACTATTACTTAATAAATCAAAGTAATTAAGCATTTAACTTTTCACTGAGTGATTAAAAAACAAGCTGCTCCTTTCGATGGATATTATTAGGAGGCACAACTCAAGAGTTAAGAATTTGCCCAAATGTTGAGTCATCTACTGGGTTACTAGATAATATATAGAATGCCTTGTATATTATCAGCGTATAAAGAGCAAATCATTTTTTAGTACAAGTGCATGTCTCATTCAACGTTTGGGACGTGCTCATATTTTTTTTTTAAAATTCATTGTTTATTTGAAAATAAAATTTAACTGAAAATCCTGTATTTTTATTTGCTAAATCTGGCAACTCTTGTCATCATTTATCTACCAAACAAGCTATAATAACCTTTTTGTAAAATTTGGTGTCAAGAGCGTTTTAGCTTAGATGCACTACCTTTGGAGTAGAAGTCAAAGTTTCATAATTTTGGTGCTACGAAAAAAGAGATGTAAGTAGCTCTGCAAGTTTTGAAATTCATAGATAAACATTTCGTAGTCCATCTTTAAAAAAGTGGACGAATAGGTAAAAAGAAGTCATGGGCGGGCTGGTCTGGGATTTCTAAGGTGAAAAGAAACCGGTCTAGAGAGCCTTTCCAAAGAGGGTGGAAGTTACAGCAGCAAAGGTTTCTTTGCGGTTTAGGAAGGCTAGAGCGCAAGACCTACGCTAGTCAATAGGGGCGGAGTAGGAAAAGGCGGGGCGCGTGAAGCCAATCAGAGACGAGATGGGTGGGACTAGACGTGGTGAAGGGGCGGGCCTAGGCCGGATAGGCTGCGAAGGGCAGGTCTCAGCCAATCCGAACCGAGTAGGGCGGGGCTGGACTCAGAAAAGGTTGGTCTCGAGGACCTGAAAGGCGCTGTTAAGTGCGTCTCTCACCCTCACCTGCGCCTGCACCTGCACCTAGACCTCCGCTCTTGTCCCAGCCGGGCGGTCGCCGACTCTACGGCTGACGCTCGCAAGATTGTTATGGCCTACCCGGGATACGGAGGAGGGGTGAGTCCTGGCCGCTTCGGCGCGGCCTCCACCCCTGCGGGATGTGACGCCCCTGTGCGCGGGGGCCACTTGCCGGGTTCACCCTCTGTCAGTCCTTGCTCACTGCTGCTTCTGGTACTCGGCGGCTCCAGGACTTTGCGCGCTGTCGGAAGCCAGGGCTGGGGCCAAACGGAGAGCCACAGGTGTTCTGGCGCCTGGTGGCCCCTTAGGCGAATCCTTGTGGAACCGTGGGTGTGGAGTGTTTTTAGAAATTTCTTTCTTGGGATAGGGGAGCAAAGCATCTTTGTTTCAGTATCTTTTTTGGTCTACCCTCCCTTCAACCCTCCTCCCCCGGCCCCATTCCCCAGTTTTGCTAGACATCCTTTCCCTGAATTTTTTTGACCACTTCTTTTCAGTTCTTTATGTGACTTATGAGTAAATTAAGGTGTGCTAAATGCCTTCTAATGTTTATTACTCTACCAAGGGCAGTCTGTTCTAAACTTTGGGGGGCTGGGTTGTGGGGGAGAAGATTATACTTTCTTACCTAATTGTTATCCTGCATCACCTTTGGGAGTTGGGAGTTGTAGTATCGACATGGTAACAGCATATACAACAAAATTTATATGTATTTTTAAGGTAGTATTACAGTGTGGTCAGAATTTTCAAGCATAAAGATATATGTTAAGCATAGAAAACTTGTACAGATGAGCTATTCGTGGAAGAAATAGAATGAAGAATACGTTTCACGAGTAAAAGAAAAAGGGTAAACTTTCTAAGGGCTTCTCTGATAGCTCAGTTGGTAAAGAATCTGCCTGCAATGCAGGAGACCCCGGTTCGATTCCTGGGCCAGGAAGATCTTCTGGAGAAGATCTACTACCTACTCCAGTAGTCCAGGAAGACTACCTACTCCAGTATTCTTGGACTTCCCTGGTGACATGACTGAGGGACTTTCACTTTCAATCATTTATAAATACATGTTCCAGAAAAGCCTTTTCATCCTTCTTAAAAAAAAAAAAGTGGTTAGGAACAAGTATCAGATCATTATACTATTTAGATAGCAAAGGATACCTACCAAAGAGTGATGTAAAACTTTATTTGAGATGCTACAGTAGAGGGTCTAGGTTCACTAAGGCTCAGTGGTAAAGAATCCACTTACCAGTGCAGGAGACATAGGTTCAATCCCTGGTATGGGAAGATGTCCTGGAGCAGGAAATGGCAACCCAGTCCAGTATTCTTGTGGGGACATCCCAAGGATAGGGAGGCCTGGCTGGCTACCATTGATGGGGTCTCAAAAGTCGGACACAACTTAGCAACTAAACAACAACAATATGCTTATACTTGGTTTGGCCTCTCTTCTTAGAAAAAAATGTTCTTTCAGTTTTTCTTCCTTCTGTGAACCTTAAGGTGGTGAGGGTCTCCAGTAAGCCTTAAATTCTTGGATATGCCCCAGGCCTTGATTGCCCCCCATGTCCTTGGAGGCCTTGGAACCAAAAGTCTAGGTGTTTGTTTTTGCCTCAGAACAAAAGTTGCTTTGGGAATTTTGCTAATCCTTTTACCTCTGGGTCAAGACTTTCCCCCCAATACTGGCCTGAAATTTTCCCTGGATCAGTGGTAACTCAAAAAATAATATTTTATGCAGTTTTTAAGTTTAAAGTTGATCTTTATATCATAGTTATCCTTATTAGAAATAGGATTTTTTTCCTTCAGTATATTTTTGTAATTTATAGAATTTAAATACTTTTAGAAGGTCCATTTTATTTACCTTTTCAAATGGGTTGGTAAAAAGGTGTTCATAAGCATGTGTTTATATGTATATATACATTTTTTAAGTTCTCTTTATGGTTATATACACTTTTTTTTTTTTCTGGAAACTGGCCTGTCCATCTTTTCAAAGAAGTAACTTTTATTTTTATTTATTTATTTTAAAAGATTGTCTTTACTTATTTGACTGGATCTTCATTACCGCCTGCAGGCATTCTCTAGTTGCAGCAATCAGGGGCTTCTCTCTAGTTGCACTGAGTGGGCTTCTCATTGCAGTGGCTTCTCTTGCTGCGAGCGTGGGCTCAGGAGCTCGGGCTCAATAGTTATGCCTTGGTCGTAGCCCTGTGGCGTGTCAGGTCTTCCCAGACCAGGGGTTGAACCCATGTCCCCTGCTTTAACAGGTAGATTCTTAACCACTGACTAGCAGGGGAGTCCCAAAAAGTAACTCTTACACAGTCACTTTAAAAAAAATTCATTATATTATTTTAACGTTTATTGTTTCCTGTCTTATACGTATTGCTTTCTAATCTAGTTTTTGGTTGCATCCCTGAGCACATTTCCTGGAGTTCCCATATGTCATTCGTTTTGCCTTTAAGGTATCCCAAGCTGCAGCTTTTCAAACGGCTATAAAAGGCTCCTTTCTGCTCCACTCCCCCCAACCAATACTTATAATTCTTTTCTCTTTCTGACTTCCATCAATCTCTGCTCATTCTTCAAAAGTAGTCAAGATATTTCTTCATCCTCCAGACTCATTAAAAACACTGAAAAAAATGCCTCTCTGGACTTTCCCAGTGGCTCAGGGGTAAAGAATTCACCTGCAACACAGGAGATGTGGGTTCAATCCCTGGGTCAGGAAGATCCCCTGGAGGAGGAAATGGTAACCCACTCAGTATTCTTGCTGGGAAAATTCCATGGACAGACGAGCCTGGCAGGCTCCAGTCCGTAGGGTCGCAGTGAGTCACAGATGACAGAGCGACAAGCATGCAAAATGCTTCTCTAAGATATAAAAGAAGGCGTACCAAGTTCCGGAGTAAAAAGAAGACAATGACCAGAGCCAAAGCAGAGCCAAAGGTCAGACTGCCTATATTTGGATCATGGTTTACCTGGTACTAGCCATTTAACTTTTAACTAATTCAGGAAACTGCTCGATGTTTTATGTCCTCAACTGAAAAAAGGCCATAGTACTTTCATACCTCACTGACTTGTTGGGAAATCACAGGGTAGGGAGAAAGTAGTTAGAACAGTGCTTAAGATACAACAAGCTCGCAATAAAGATTAGCTATTACTATTGTTGGTATCCTTGTTATTCTTATTTTCAAGAGGACCATGGTTTGAATTACCACCTTATTGTTCTCTTCATTGGTGCCTTGCTTTTTAAAACAATATAAGTTCTTTGGTGGACAGGATGTTTCAGCCCTATGCACTTTCCCATGATTTGGTCCTGGTCACGGTTTCATTGTATTTACTCTGTATTCTTCTATGTATGTATCTTTAGGTTTGCTACTTTTTCATTTTACTGTAGGTGAAATTTTCTTATATTTTTTAACTTTTTGCTTTGGTGATGATGATAAATACTTTTTTAAAGTGTGCCTCATTCTTAGAGGCTAGAGACTTCTTTTTTCTTTAACACTTTAAAGAACATTGGATAATATTTGTTAATGAGACAAAATTAAGTAATACAGGGCAACTAACAGTTTGTAGTTAACAGCTTTTCTGATAATTTGGGAAGTTTCAGTAACTCAATTTTTACTTTTCAACGGACTTCTCATAAATATTTTCTTTTAAACCAAATTTAGTGTTTAATGGCTAATATTTATGTTAATAACCTCCTCCCTTTTCACACTTTTAGTTTGGAAATTTTGGCAATCCAATGGGACAGCCAGGATACCCTGGACACCCGGCTTATCCAGGCAGTATTTCAACAGGAGACCCCATGTGGAAATGCTTCCTTGCTATTGCTGGCCAGGTAAAATGTTAAATATACAGCACAAATATCAGTTTAAAAAAATTATTGCAATCTAAAACAAATGTCAAGCTCTTTTATTTAGTGTATCATTTAAAATGTATATGAAATTTGTATTTTAAACTTATCCAGTTTTTCTCCTGAGATCAGAAGTTAGGGTGGTCATAATTATCTTATTAAAAATCTGTTAGTTTGGTGTCTAACATGTTAGGAGCCAGGGTGGTGCATGAGACTGAGCCAGGTAGGATCTGGGAAGAAGTGATCTCTATGTAAATCTTCTTGAGGAAGCTGGGACAGAGGATCACAGAGACTTGTAAACTGTGGATATTTCTGGGAGAGCCTTGATGGTAAAGCAGATCAGGAAAAGGTAAAAGAAATGGGGCGGAATGAAGGTGCAAATACGAGTCTAATGTGCAGAGACAGAGATTCACTCTTGAGTCTTAGACACAGACCATGTCTCTTTCCTTTTACAGTAGTCAAGAAGATTTATTGAGTGGTTAGAATTTCAGAGAAGTTTGATAACATTTTCCATTCATTATTCATTCATTTAAATGTTCACTAGATCCCATATGTCTTTCTAGAAATATATATACACAGAATTATTATATGTTGCAAACACTTTGTTTTGGCTACCCAAATTTCATTCAAAATGTCCTTTTTCCCTTTTCATGTGTATTAGAGGTTGGAAAACCCTAATCCTGTCTCGGACACCTTTGTATAAATGTAGCTATGTGCCATAATACTGGCCATTGAGATCTAGGTGCAATTTCTCTAGGATGCTTTCCTTTTCCAAATGAGGAAAGCTTAGCTGAAACTAGTGTTAGCCCTTTTTCCTCCTTCTGGAAAGGGGACTACTTGCCTGGAAAGGGGACTTGAAGTATGGAGGTGCTGTAGCCATCTTGTGATCTTGAGGCCAGAAGCTTGGGATAAAAGCCTGTGGATGGGGGATTTGGAAATATGAAAAGAGATTGATGGCCTTGTTAAGTTACCACAGATTCTTCATCTGCCTAGCCCCAATAAACATTTATTTGTTTAAACCCCTTTGATAATATTTTCTACTGTTTGCAGCTAAATGCAATCCTGTTGCCTTATACCACTCTTATCTGCAAGGAACTCTTAAGTAGTATAATACTGGGAAAAAGTATGTAATCTATAGCTGACTATATAATAAACTCATTTTATAAAACTACAGCTTAAAATATAAGAACCAGACATGTATATTTAGAGACCTTTATTTGATTTACAAACTATTTCATTGTAACAGTTGTCAACAATGATTTGCTATGATTGTACTGTTTGACACTTTCCTTAACTTTTTGTTCTACCAAATACTTGGGTTTATTTCCTCAAAACAAGTGGATTAAAATGCAATAAATAAACTGGTATATACTTAAATATCTTAGAAATTTAAGACCATCAGGTAAATCTAACAGGCTTGATAGACCTCAACAGGGTCAATATCAAGAGAGGCAAATGAGGTGAATGGTGCAAACATAGGGTCAGAGCCTTTATTTAAAAACTGGATATTTTTTCACAGATTTTTTTGCATTAGTTTTTTTTTTTAATATTGCATTAAAACATAATTTATTATAACTACTAAGTTTTTTTAAACTTCCTCAGATTTAAAAGTTAGTCTCTCACTTGCCTGGTGATATTTATAATACTCCTTAGAAGTGTTTATAATGCTCCTTAGATGTGTTTATAATACTTCTTAGAATTAGTTTGTAAAAGTTTTGTTTGTATTTTAGATTCTTATAAATTATATGCTTTAAATTTGCCTCCTTAATCCTTTTCCAGAGCTGTTGTTTTGAATTCATGACCATGTATGAGATGCTTCCAAGTAAATTATTCTACTCTTTATTTTTGTAGAAAATAGGATGAGGTACTGAAACATAATGAGAGTATTCAACCTGTTCCACTTTGACTGTGATTTCTTATTTGTGATAAAAGATTTTTTTCCCATAAGAATGGCGAAGAATATTTGGACAAAACTCAGAAGAATAGCACCAAAATGTAGCGGGACTCTCAAGCTGAGAGTAAAGATGTAGAGGAAAATATTTTCTCTTCCCAGTTAAAGATTCAGTATCCTTTAGAAATAAGCTCCCCTCAAAAGAAGCATGAAAGAAAATTTTTGAGACTTCTCCGAACACATTTTAGGCATTTTTTTAAACTTTTTATAGTAGAAGTATAATGATTATCACAAGATTTTACTTTGCATTATTATAGGACAAAGTGATCATGCTGTTTTTCAGAAGTAGAGAATATAAATTATATGTGAAATGCCTGCATAATTTAATAGAATAAAATTTGATTGTGAAAAAGTATTCATGTTGTGTGATGTTCTTTAATGTGTCTTTGTCAGTAATTTTCTCTATAATTTTGTAGTTGATAATAGAGTAATATTTTGATGACTGCATATTTATTCATTGGCCTTGAGCAGCTAGTTAGCATTTTAGTATGCTTTTATATAACTTTTTTTATTAATCAGGTTATAATTATTTTTTAACAGGATGGTGAAGTGGGTGCTGAAGAACTTCAGAAGTGTTTAACACAGTCTGGAATTAGTGGAACTTATTCTCGTGAGATCTTTTTTTCTTCTTTCTGTTGAAATTGCACTAGGAAATTCACTTTCTAACTTTTTTGTTTCCATACTTGAAATATTTTTTAAAACTTTTTTATCACATACACTCACACACATAATGCAGAGTCAAATAATGCTACAAATCTTGTTAAGTAAATACTGTTCAGTGTGCGTTCCCCTCCCTGACGTTAACCACTCTTAGAAAAAATCCCTTTCAACTTCTTTCAGCTAATTCTTTTGAAATTTGCCTCCATATTTTAAATAGCATGCTTTTATTGCTGTTGATTTTCAGTTTTGATGGTGATCAATGATTATGTCCTGCTGTGGACAGTGAGGATGTAACCCTTTCACCCGTGTCTCTGCCCTATGCGCAGGAGCCCTTCCCTCCCCCTCCAACCAGTGTAGCTGTTAGGTAATTTTCATTAGGTCAGTAATCAGCATTTGCTTTATTGTTACTGTCTAAATGTTCTTCCTGAGTCTTAGAAGAATATATGATTAATTTTCCTTTTTCTGTAACTGTTTGCTTTTTCTGAAATTAATCCCCATCCTGGAGCTTTCTGTTGTGCCTCGTTTTCTGTGCATAGCTATCATGATGCACTCATCTGGAGCCCTTTCCTCTCTCTCTTGAGTTGGGTCTCCATTCCATCGCTTGTTCTCATCTTAAATTTGATAAAATACATTATTAATTAGCTTCTTAATAAAAGTACATGGGAAACAAATCTTTTGAGACTTTCTGTGAAAATGCTTTCATTGTGTCCTCAGAATGAAGTGACTAGCCAGGTATAGAACTCCAGATTACAAAACATTTTGACTTAGAGTTTTAAGCTCCATTGTTTCCAGCTTCCATTATTGTTTAATCTTTTTGTTTTCTGCCTGTATATCATTTGTTTTTAGTGTGTAGGGGCTTGTGAGAGCTTCTCTTTGCCCTTGGTCTGAAATGTCACAGTGCTGTTTCTTGGTGTGTGGGGGATACAGAAGGAGTTTTCCAATCGAGACTCATTTGCTTTCATTCTGAACAATTTTCTTCAGTGTCCTTTTCTCCATTTTCTCTTTGTGGAATGTCTGCCATTTGGATTGGGTCATTTTCCTTTTTCTCTCCTGCCTCTTGGTTTCTTCTACTTTTGGAGAAATTCTGGGTGGCTTAGTGATAAAGAACGTGCCAGTAATTCAGGAGACACAGGTTTGATCCCTGGGTCAGGAGGATCTCCTGGAGAAGGAAATGACAACCCACTCCAGTATTCTTGCCTGGAAAATCCCATGAACAGAGGAACCTGGCAGGCTACAGAGAGTAAACAACAACCTCAACTTTCTTTTTCTTTTTTTTTTTATTACTTCGGGAACTTGAGTGTCATCCTTGTGCAAAGTCCATACTAATTGTCTCTGTATTTTTCCAATTTTAGTATATGTTCTCCTGAAGTTCTGTTGAGACTTTCATTTCTCCTATCATGTTTTTAAAATCCAAAAGCAGTTGTTCTTTTTTTTCATGAGTGTGATGTCTTTCCTTATCTCTCTGAGATTTTTAATGTTTTTTTTTTTTTTTCTAAGTTTTTTTCCTCCTACATAACCTACTTCTTCAATGTTTTTTCCCTGGTTTGTTCATTTGACTGTCTTTCATGTTAGCTGCCTTTCTCAGATGTCTGATGATGCTTGGTTGCTCATGTTTAACTAAAATACTGGTTAGAAGCCCTGAGAGCTGGGCTGGGTGTTGACGCCAGACTTCAGAGCCTGGTGGTTCAGCTGGGCCGTTTGTCCTGCAACACTGGGTGTCAGGACCTTTAGGGATTTCTTTTGGGGCTGGTTGTCCAGTTGATCTGCTCTCTGGAGCCAAGGAGGGAGGACTCAGTAGGGTTCTCAGTCTTTTGTAAATTGTCACTTTATTTCCTTGTTTTAATAGATAGCCCTGTCTTCAACAGTGCCTAGTTTCCTGCGGTGCATAGACCCCTCCAGAAAATAAAACCCCAGATGTCTGCTGGCTTGGGAGTAGACAGGGCAGCCATCTGGCTGAAGCAAGAAGATTTGGGGCTTCAAAGGCTCCTTAAATAGGCTTTCAACCAGTCCTTGTGTTTTTGTCTCTACATTCACACCCATTTTCAGAAGTACTGCCAATTTGTAAAAGTTTGGGGTCTCCTCCAGGATAATGAGGCTGCTTCTCAGCTTTTCTTATTGCAAGGTCAGGAAGCCACTTTCTCAGATGGAAGTTGTCAACTTATGTCCACCTACTTTTCAACTTGCAAAGTTTTGTTCCTTGGTTTCCTCTCTTATTCTCTAAAGGATTACAAATTGTAAAAATGCAGTTTAATTCTGTCCATTCTAATGTGGTGTGGGGAGAGAGTGAAAATCTGTCAACTCGCCTAAAACTTCTCTTCATCTATTCTTTGTCAAGGTTATTTACTTTGACATTTGCTTGGTTCTATTTTGAGACTGATTGAAGAGCTGATTATTTGATGACTGAATTTTTGTCATTTATTATCATCTATTCAGATTCTTCCACTTAAAGAATGTGTGCTATGTTAACTTTAAGGCAAAATAGATCTAATTTACTGGACAAAATGATGGAATGCCATTCCAGAGATTTCTCCCTGTCCCTGCCTGAGAAGTTTTTGTATGAAAAAGCACTGGTCCCCAGTCCTTTCTCTTCCACCTGTTAGCTCTGTGAACTTCGGATACTTTATCTTTCTGGGCCACAGTTGCTATTATAGATTAGGCACGTTTGTGTTAAATCACAGAACACACACTACTGGTTCATAATAACTGCTCATTCAGTGTCAGTTGAATTGCCATTCTGAAAATACCGTAACCATCTATTCTACCATTGATAACATGTGAAACATTAAAGAAAGTTTCTTTTAATTTGTGGGTTGTTTTATAATATTCTTTAATGGGTCTAAAATTTAGCTGAAATAGTTCTTTTCTTTATAAAAATTTCAAAATATTTTATCAAATAGCATAATTTTAAGCATTTTTGCTTATTCATTTGTTTATCTTAAAGAACTACTAGTAAGAACTTTGTAAACTTCACTGAACTGTACTTGACATAATATCTCCTTCATTGGGACTATATATAATTAGTCTTGAGATAAATCAGCATGCTAATTGAATGTAATTATGATAAGGATGGGAAAAAATTAAATTTTGCCCAGTAAGTCCTCATTCATAGTTCTTTAAATATGGAAGTGTTAATATTTCTGATTTAAGATAGCAAACTATCTTATTATCTATATTTCTTCTTCCTTTCTTTCCTCCTCCCCCCAGGAAAAAGCAGTTACTTTCAGTTCTATCTCTTTCTTATTTGGTTGAGTGCAGTAAACTTCCAAATGATTTACCTACATCCAGATTCATTATACTTTACTCTGTGTAGTCTTTCTTTGTCAACTACTATTTTTGAAATGGAAATTTTAGAATTGCTCCTATATTCCTTAAAATCCTTTGCTGTTGATTAGTCACTAAGTCCTGTCCAATTCTTTGCGACCCCATGTACTGTAGCCCGCCAGGCTCCTCTGTCCATGGGATTCCTCAGGCCAGAATACTGGAGTGGATTGCCATTTCCTTCTCCAGTCCTTTAGTAACCTCCATTGGTCTAAACCTTTAGGGTGGCATTCAAGACGTATGATCTGATCCTCATCTGAAGTCATTATATGCCTCTCATTCACATATGCCCTAAGCTTTAACCAAATCTCTAACACTTTCAAGTTTTGTGATGCCAGTATGTGAGAACTACTTAAGCTGACTTGTCATTTGTGTTAGGAAGACTAAAGCCCTCTTTTCCCCTTGTTTAGTTTTCAGTATTTTATAACTGCTTATTTAATTACCGAAATTCCTTTAGTAAATGTGAGTAGTATGAAGGTAGTAATTTTTGTCTCTCTTTTTTTTTCTTTCACGGTGCAGCCCTAACAATCAGTTTGTTCATTGAGTGATGTATAGTTTTGGCAGTTGGTAAATGTTTTGTTTTAAAAACAGAAAATGTTGTAATTTTACATAAATAGGGCAGAATTTAATTCAAATAATAAATATGTTTTATAGCCTTCAGTTTGGAAACCTGCAGAATTATGATTGCCATGTTGGATGTATCCTTGAGTAAAAACAAAAAATACTAGAATATGGAATAATTACCCTTAAGGCAGTTGTTGGGTATAAATGATTATAGTAAACTAGAGTGTTTAAAAATACTTTGTAACATCCTATATGAATTCCGTTCTTTTCCATTTTTACACAAATCTATTTATATGCTAAATTGGCTAACTCTTGCAGAAGTGAGCTCACAATTTTTTAGTCAGTTATTTGGAATTTTGATTCCAGGTTAAATTCTCTTTGGTATCAGGATTTATTTTCTTTAATAAAACTATCAGAGAGATTACACAGGAAAAATGGGATTTAATGAATTCAAAGAACTTTGGGCAGCTCTTAACTCCTGGAAGCAAAACTTCGTAACTGTTGATAAAGATGGAAGTGGCTCAGTAGAGCATCATGAATTGAATCAAGCCATTGCTGCTATGGGTAAGCATATTAAAATTCTTTAAATAAATCCAGGTCATCTTTGTTCTTTGATCAGATGAATCTTAATTGTTTAAACTTCTAAGTAATAAAAGGGTATATTATTTCAGCAGCTATTGTCCAGTTTGAGTTCAAGGTTATAGGTACATTCTGATTAAATGTCTTTAACAAAACCATTTTATTTGTGAGCTTTTCAAAGAATAATCTTTCATGCATTCTGGTTGATAAAACAGTTTCTGAATTTCCTATGTTGAATATACTTAAATTTATTCTAATTGTTCGTACTCATCATTCATATTGTATACTTCTGTAACTTGGTAAGATCTCTAATTTGATGGCAAAAGCTTATCTCAATAACAGGTCTTCATACATAGTCTAGTTGCTCTTCTTTTTTATGTAGTGTAGAACACACAGTAGACACCCAAAAAACAAAAAAACCTCAAAATGAGAAGTCTGCATTTTAGAGTATCTCAAAAGACTGTAGCTTTATTTTTATCATATCTCTGATAAGCTAAAGTTCTCAGTCTGTTTTCTTTCAAAAAATGACAATATGAATGGTGTGTAACTTGCTCAGGGCTTCCGTCACAGCTCAGTTGGTAAAGAATCTGCCAGCAATGCAGGAGACCCCAGCTCAATACCAGGAAGATCCTCTGGAGAAGGAATAGGCTACCCATCCAGTATTCTTGGGCTTTCCTTGTGACTCAACTGGTTAAATAATCCGCCTGCAATGTGGGAGACCTGGGTTCAATCCCTGAGTTAGAAAGATCCCCTGGAGAAGGGAAAGGCTACCCACTTCGGTATTCTGGCCTGGAGAATTCCATGGACTATATACAGTCCATTTAACTTGCTTACAGTAACATAGTTTTAAGTAGTTTTCTTGATTGCATTTATGCTTGTAATTTTATTTGCATTCATTTCTAAACAAAATGCTTTTGTAACAAAACTAACTTTTGAAAGATTGTACTTTTCAGAAATCTGAACAAGTGTAAATTATCTCAAATTTCAGTTTAAAGTCAAAACCATGATTTTGTTTTATAAATAGACATTTTAATAAATTGTCATTTTAGGGATAGTCCTGTCCATATAAACTTCTATAGCTTAATTATAGAGTCTTAATTCCTAATGAATTAAACTTGGTTCTTAATTCAGCACAATGTTGGAAAATTAATATAGCCATTTGGAAAAAAGAAAACCACCAAAGAATTCACATAGGCAGTTGAATTTAAGTAACAAAGAGGCATTCTATATTATTAAAATTTTAGGTCTTTAGATATATTTTAAAATATTCAATTTGTTTTTGTTGAGAATGCTATGGAAAATCTTGTGAATTTTATCAGTCCCATATCCACCTGGATCATAACTCTCTAGTAGGAAGCTGGGTTTATTTGCATGTAATAACATTCACTTGCATATTTGACTTCTATTAATTTATATGTTTCCTTTCAGTTACTTTTAGTAAGTTTCCTGGATTGCATTTCATTATAGCTATTTGTAGACTTATCTTCTGTTGCATTTATTTTCATTATTTTTCCCTTTGACTGGATGAATGTCTTTTGTCTATATCTAATCCAGTAATATACAAAGATAACATTTCTAGGGCAGCTTTCTTCACAGTAAAATATACACATCTCATAAATACATAGGACCATCACTAGGGGGGGACAACAAGTAAAATAATTTATATTTCTAATTACTTTTATTCCATTATTTTAAATTTTAGTTTTTTATATATTTTAAAATTTAAATAAATAGTAATACTTGTATAGAATTTAAGACTAAATAATATACATATAATGGGAGTGAATGATCCAAAACTTTTTACTCGAAGTATGCATTCAAAAACTCTTGGAGTCCACTGGGCTAGACAGAAAAGAACTAAGGAAAGAGTAAAAAGACTGGTTAAGATGAAAAAATCTATGAAGAAACATAATAAGGGTTATAGGCCAAAATGGAATAACATTTCCCTATTTCTTCCTCCTCTAAGTAACCATGTTGAATCTTAAATTTTCTTTGACTCTAAGACAATACAGTCAATGGGAAATACAGGTTTGAATGATATCAAAGATCACTAATAATCTTTGCTTTGATGTTTTTGAAGAACTATAAAATTACAGGGTTTAAAAATTGATGAATTAAAAGACCTATGACTACAGTAGACATTATTTCAAAATGAAAATATATTTTACAAGCACAAAAAGATAATTGTTTTCTTTTTCCTAGCTTTGAGTTTTTATAGAGTTGGAATTGTGAAATTTATGTACCACTTTTGCTATTAGTAATGAAACCTTTCCTGATCAATTTCAATAGGAATGCGTTTTGTTTCTGATATATATTTTTATGTAGTGAATTCTGAAAGTTAATTTGTTTTATAACTTAATATTAACAAGAATACATTGTTGGTTAATGGTGTTCTTATGATGTGTAGTTTTAGAAGTTTTAATCTAGCAATCCCTTTTTCTAGGTTATAGGTTGAGTCCTCAAACAGTAACTACCATTGTCAAACGTTATGGCAAGAATGGCAGAATCTTCTTTGATGATTATGTTGCTTGCTGTGTGAAGCTTCGAGCATTGACAGGTATGGACCATTTACGGGCACAGCATTATGGGACTTTTTTCCCCAAATGATGTCCCTCATTTTCTTCAGCAAAGTGATAGTATTATGTGTCTTCCCCTCATTATTCACTGTTAAATCTTATCAGAGTTCTAAGGCTTTAAAACTTTAGGAATATAAATAGTGAAAAAATGTTATAGCTCAGTTTTGGAAAATTTTCTCCATATCTCAGTGACCTGGGACATAAAAAAATCACAAGATTTACTAGAGTGTAAAATTATTCCTTTTGTAATACCTGGGGGCACCAGTTATTTAAAACTAGATTTTAAACTATAACACAGAAAATAATTTCTTGTTTAAAGATTTCTTTAGGAGAAGAGACCACTTGCAACAAGGGGTTGTGAGTTTCGTATATGACGATGTGAGTATCCTGTATTACACTTTAGATATTTATACTGTGTTCTATGTGTGTTCATAGTGATCAGAGAATGTAAATGATCTCTGGTTTCAGTTGGAGATAATATATTTTAAAAACCATATTCCTTTTCTATAGTTTTCAGTGTAACTCAAATATAAAATTCAGTAGTGATATAAGTAACCAATTTGACTTGATATTAAACATAAAAATACTTTAAACTTTTATGACAGTGATTTTGGCAGTTTATGTTCCAAATCATTTTTAAGGACAAATTTATAAAGACTGTTTTACTAGTGATGATCTTTCTTCTGAAAGAGATAGGAGATGTTCATCTATGATAGGTAATGGAACTATTCATTTCTCATTTCAGTTGTTGCTATTAAGCCGAGTCCATGTTTTGTTTTTTTTTTTAATTGAAGCTACAGGAAAGGTTATATTTCACATGTTCTTAAGTGTTTCAGGGTTTTGTTTGTGTTATGTGGAAATTATAAGGTCAACTTTATCCTACTAGTATAATACTGGTTTGAGTTACAAGCCTTAGACAGTAAAAATTTCTCCTCTTGAGAAAATGCTTCTGTGGAATATAATTAGAGACAAAACATTAAAGACAAAAACCATGTGGTTGTTACCAAATGATGATTTTGCCTGTTATTAGTTTTTGCAGGGCACAATGGCAATTTGAATGTCTAGAATTTGAAAGCTGAAGAAATACTGTGAGTTTCTCTGCTTAGAAGAAATGAACTGGACTCCTTAGAATTAAAGCATCTAAGGCTTTTCCATATTCCATATATTGAAGCTCTTCTCTGAGTTTTTACTTTAGCTCACAGTGTAAAGCAATAAAAGAGATGTTTTTGTATTGGGAATATTATTGCTTTTAGTAAGGTTATAACTTTAGAGATCTCTGCATATTCAACATAGGTGTATAATTAAGTGATATAAATACCTCTTAACTTTAATTTTCTTTATTAATTACAAGATAGATTATATATTTGGAAAAGATAGATTGTATAAGAAGCTAAATGATGAAAGCCTAAATAAAACTAATTTATACTTACCTGAAGGTTACAAATTATATTTTGAAAAATTTGTTTGCAGTTGTTGGTATTTGAAGGTGAGCCAGAAAGGGAAGCCTAGATTTTGTGCCATCTTTATAGTAGGGCTTTTTATTTGCTCACATATCAGAAAACAGAAACTTGCGACTCTTCGCCTGTGAAGAAAATTGTAGTTCCTAAAATTTTATCCTGAGTCACATTCAGTTCAGTTCAGTTCAGTTGCTCGGTGCTCAGTTGTGTCTGACTCTTTGTGACCCCATCAATCGCAGCACGCCAGGCACATTAGGTGGACCATAAATTAATCTTTGGTGAAATAAAATTCAAGGAGGCATTGTTTTTCCTTTTTTAATTTTTTGCAGTATATGTTTTTCTTCAGTGTGTTTTATTGTCTTCTGTGGAACAAAATTCTTAATGAACATAACTTCTTTCTCTGTATAGATAACCTAAAATGGCATCTTTGTTTAAATTTAGGTTTTCTGCAAATGACATATTTTTAATGAAATGTCAATATTTAAGTTTGTTATTTTAAACTAAATTGTTTACACATACTGCTATTAGCTATTTATAAAATTTTTAAAAAATCAAGTAACCTACCACTTTGTTTAAATGTTTAGAAATTATAGGTTTGACTTTCTTGACAGAATTATTCCGTGATTTTGACATTAGTAAACCCATAAGTCTTTCTCAGTAAGTGTAATGTGGGTCCTGAGCATGGTAGACAGCATTTCTGAGTGGCATTACTATGAAAATTGAAAGTGGAATCACCAGGTTCTTAGCATTTTAAGATTACTGATATAAGTTATTGTATCAGTCACTTTCTTGGCAAACACGCCTCAGTCTTTCTAAATGAAGAGTTAGTAAACCACATACATTTATTACACTTTAACTGAATATCTTCTAGCTTAAAGGTGAATACAAATTAACATAATTTTAATATGGCTTGTGATCAAATTAATAATATAGTTTTACATGGAAGTTTCATAAAAATGGAAGATGAGTGGTAGTCTCTTGAAAAGAAAAAAAAACCTTTTATAAAGATAGAGAATTGTAGATCAACTTTCACTTTAAAAAAACCTGGAAAGGAAGTAATGTATGCCCTTGTTGATATTGATAATTTTACATAATTAACTGTCAAATTCATTTGGCCAGATTTATAAAAATGTGTGAATAAATAATTCATGTAATTTTGTCCTCTGGCTGTTAATTTTTTTCATGAACATATATTTGATAATGTAAGAGCATGTTAACTGAGCCATAAAAGATACAGAATTCTAATTAGCAGTGTTACAGGAAAGAGATCATATAAACAAATTGTGTATCATTCATGTTGAATAAGGGTGATACCATGACTCAGCAGCATGGAATCTTAACATACACTTTGTACAGTTGGTTGAGTTATTGTACTATTCTGAGGTCAGTTATAATTATCCTTATTTGGATGCTCATAGTTGAGGTCAAACTTTTAAAATGGTATGACATGAGTCATATAAGTTTTGTCAAATGACACTTTGAGTTAGAACTTTTACATGCTTCTCTTTAACTCATCCTTTACCAAAGGTGTTCCTGTGACTTTTGGTCATAGGAGGTCTGAAGAAGTTCCCAGGACCAAAGGTATTTAGGAAACCCTCATCTTCCTCAGAAAGCTTAATAAAACCTAAGGTACAGAAAATCTCTTTTATTTGACTCAATTTTTTCTGAAATTTTTTAACCTCAGAACCCTTCCTCTTAACAAAACTGATATTCTATGCCAATCCAAGCTGGTTGTCAGGCAGTTGTTTTGTACTTCACATTAGATAATCCTTTTTTTTTTTTAATCCATAGAATTTTATTTGCATTTAGCCCCTTTTCAAATTTTTCTTATACTAATGAGGAGAACATAAATCTAGAAATAAGATTTGTGAAATCATCACTTTCCTTCCAAATTCCCAAATTAACATTATTTCAAATACTAGGGTCATTTTGGCCTTCAGGACAATTACATATTTTTCTAGTGCTCAGTTTTCTAATCTGTACACATTAGAAAATCTTATATAAACATTAGCCATAGAGAATACATTACCAGGATTTTTCTGCTAAAAGGCAATTCATATTTTTAATGCTTTTAAAATAGTGTAAACAGAATCTATTACTAAGGTAAAAATTAAATCATTTTATAATGAACATGAATGTGAATATAATGTGGTAGTTTGTACTAATTAACTCATGCCCCAGTTTTCTTATGATGATGTAAATTATTAAATCATGTACACTCTTAATGTCTAAGTGCTTTTATTTATACAATAAACATGTTTCCATGTCATTTTGAGAATTTTTTTAATAAACATTCAAATAGCTTGCTGTAAAGTTTTGCATCATACAAAATCTGTAACATATATATTAAGAGATTCTTCAGTTCAAGTAACAGTGCAGTAATTCACCTATGCTTAAAAGACTGCCAAATGATTAAATGTCAGGTATTGCACTTCTATTGTGAGTGGCAGTTTACACATTTTAAATTACATTACAGGGGGTAATCAATACTATTGGAATCTTAATTTGGTCCACTTTCAAGTGTAATTTCAAGGACTGTGTTCATTGATCTATCAAGCATGCATTCAGAAACAAAATGTAATAGAAAGATGTCAAGTGATATGTTTATTTCCAGAGAAGGCATTTACCCTGGAAGAGAGTAAAATTTATTAATGTAGTTAAAATCTGTGTAATTGAAAATATAAATTGTGATTTCTTTAAGTAAAATACATAAATCAAGGTCACTGTTATGGCATTACAAAACTGAATAAACAAATACTATATGTCAGAAGTGTGCTTTTCTTTGTCCTTTTATGTTTAACAAACATAAATGATATGTTTTTTTTGTAGCAGTTTTCTGGGAAATTAATAGGAGTAAATTTGTTAAAATCTGTTAAATCTAGTGAGTAAAATTCAATACATTTTTCAGGTTAGTATATTCTTCTTTTCTCTTAAACTTTAAAATGCAACCACGGGTGTTTTTTTACTTTGAAACTATTACAATATCACATTTTTGTTGGTCACAAATCATTTTCAAAGCAAATTGAGCATTTTTAAATAAATGTATAATGTAAGGTATCATCTAAGAGTCTGTCTTGATTTCATAATACTAGATGATACAAAGAAAAATATTTAGAACTTGTGTTATAGTGATGAATACAGGCAGGGCTTTTAGATGAATACTGTTCAAATAAGTTATAGTCTAGAATAAGGTCATAAAATTACATATGTCTTTACTGAATTCAAATTGTCCTGTAATGTGGAGTTCTGAGCTCAAAACTACTTTGCAGAAAACTGGGAAAGTTAAGAAAAATTTCTCTGTCTCACTATCAGATCCTGGGAAACTTGCCCTTTTGTTTTTTGCCATGTCTACTTATTTTAAAAAGCATAGTAAAGAAAAGAACCTTAGATTACTTAACATTCCTTTTACCCATGTAGCTTGGTAATATACAGCTTTGTGTATTACTTTTTGAGCATTCAAATTTCAGATATGCTTCTTTATCTGAATACATCATTCTGAATACATAGACATTGGCGGCAAGCCTACTTTGCTATGATGTGCCCTACTGTGAGGGGAACAGTGGGCTCCTCGCCTGTGTGCTACTTGGGTCTTTAGATGTGCCCCTTCTGCACCGCCAGAGATGGTGGCAGTTTCGAAATCTTACAGGGAGTGAGAAGAATTGGTCTAGGTCATATTTAATAGCTATATTCAGAGACAAGCATGCCAGGAATTAGCACCCCTTCTTCTGATACAGTGTATGTGTATGTATCTAGGTGTGTGCCCTTGCATGGGCGCAGAGACAGAACCTTTTCCCAGAAGCATGAAAATACAAATATGTACTTTAGGATACAGTTATTTGCATTTTAGTTGACTGTATTTAATCACATTTTATATTGTTATGATTACTGAAATTGCAAAGGATAACCTGAACATTGCTAGTATGGATATTCCAGAAACATACTAATTAAAGATCCATATTCTTTTGAAAATTATAGGCCACTTTAAAAAGACTTTAGGGTTAACTGAACTTGTGAATATGTATTTAATTTCCCAAAGCTATCTAAATGCATTGCACCTACATTTATCTTAAGGCAAGAGAATCTTTTAAAAGAGATTTTGTTTTTTCATACTTTGATTCTTATTTTTTAATCAGCTTCACTTCTAGATAGTACAGTGCTTTTTGCTACTTTGTATTTGGTTTGGTTTTTTTATTTATCAAATAGGGCAATGTTCTCTTGGTTTTTTAAACCTTAAAAGTGAATAGTGGGTAATTTCAACCCTAAACAGACAAACAGCCCTTAGCTAAGAACATTCCATGTTATGATCAATCAATTTTATTTAAAAGTTTTCTTTAAAGATAATTTGATTTTTAAAAAAATAATAGGTAAATGATTCCAGGGGAAGAATTAAAAATGTATGACACAGGCAAATGAAAATTGTATCCCAACATTTTCATTCTAGATGAAAAATATGTATCAAGCATACATTATAAAAAAATTTATCTCATGCAAGTTAAAGCATGAGATAGTCATGGAAATTGGAAATTTCCAATTAGTCATTCCAAATTAGTCATTGGAAATTTTAAATAAATAGTAAGTATTGTAGTAAATTACTATTGTATTCTTGAGGGGCAAAAAGTGAAGGGTTGTCGTTTGTTTATTTTGAAATTTAATGCTTTTTACCACTCAGTCCAGCTTACTAGAGCTCCAGTGGAACTCGGTAAAACTGTAGCACTGTTAACAATTATGTGATTTTGTGAAATATATCAGCACCACCATGCCTGTATCTATCTCTGTATCTAGTAAAATGTTGGAAAGAGTTGGCTTCCCTAATAAAAGTATCCTAAGTAGCTAATGAGATTTACTTTCTTTTTCCCCAAAATAATATCTTTTACAAATTATTGAATTTTCATGTATAAATAGATCAGAAATTATATGCTTCATTCTTAAATTATGTATATATACTATATTTTCAATACAACTTGTACACTTTTAGCTACCAAAATTTTGCAACCATTTTTACATGAAATTTACAGTTTTCTTATTTACAGTTATTTGTGGAAGGTTATTGCAAAACTAGTTGTGCAAGTAGATTACATTGTCAATATCACATACCAATCTGAAGAAAATATTTGCTAAAAAATAAATATTTCTGCACAGAGTATTTCAAAAGCATCATGATTTCATGCTACATTATGTGCATAAAGACTAGGAAATATACGTGTTTTGGTAGATTGTTTCATTACGTTTAAAGCATTCCAAGGTACTTACTACTTAACCGATGTGAGCAAGCTTCTTTGTATCAGATGACTGACATTTTCCAGTAATTACACACATTACTGTTTGAAATGTATTATTATTTAACCAGCAAACATTCTCATACACATATTCCTATCAAAATTATAGAACATAAATTTCATCTAAAAATAGGTAATTTGCCTTTAACATTGGCAGGTGCCCAGATTAAGAACTAGGGATTCCCCAATATTTTTATCTATTTCCTTAGTATTTGTTAGAAGAGTACCATATTATTTCAATGCTATTGTAACTATAGGGCCATTTTAATGAAACTATGTAAAGCAGTTATTATAAGATTACAGATCTTTGAATTGTACTCCTGAATAACACAAAAATGATGGGGTTCTGTGGGATTTTCTCAAATACTCAAACAATATATTGTCAGTATTTAAAAATACAGGTTAAATGCTAGCAGTTGTAATTATTTGATTATTTTCAACTCAAAAACAGCATTAAAATACAGACAGTGGAAATAGAATACAGATTAAATATATAGTGCTTTATAACCACAGTTGTGCTAAATTATTTTTTGTCTCTTAAAACAAATTAATTAAGTTGCAGATGTTATGACTGCAATTCAGGAATTCATCTGGGTTTTGATATTAAAATTAAGTTTTCAAGAGTAACCACATTACTATTGCCACTTCTCAAAATAAAAATATTTTGTTGGGAGCATTTCTGTAGTAATTCTTGGTGTTCTCATTTGAAAGTTGAGTGATGATTAGTAGAACAATGAAATTGGTCAATTGTTCTTAACATTGCATATCTATAGGTGTGTTATTCTAGTCATAGTAATAATGTGTTACTTTTAAATAACTTGGCATCTCTCTTAACCTCCATTTAGTAGTTTGTATAAATAAGTCATAATAATTTCTTTTTCATGCTGTCAATTATTAAGAATTCATATGGGCCAGAAGCTTAGTGTTGTGCCCAGTTTAAAAAAAAAAAAAATAAAGGATCTTGACATTAAAAAAAAAAAAGAATTCATGTCTTCCTGTGGATTTTCTTTTCTATATTGCATATTCTTACAGTGTATTTGTACCACGAAAGCATGTAATGAATTTGTTCTAAGCTTGGGCACTGATCAATCACAATACCTAATACTGTATAAAGCATTTAAAAAGGCTATCCTTTTAGTTTTTAAAAGGTTGACATCATTTCACAATAAGTTAATGAGAACCACAAGAAAACAACTTAAAAGGAGGACATGTAAGTGAGAGGGACAAGGGGAAGCTATCGCATACCTAAAAAACAATTGCAATGTAGATATATTAATAATTTCATGGATCTTGGACAAAAGTAATATTGGACAAGTTTTGGGGTACACATGCACGCATTGGGGTGTTATGGCAGAGGAAGCTTCCTAATGCTGGCTTTCTCCTTTTCTGAGCAGATAGATCTTTGCGAGTTGTGTGAGAATCTATAGATTCTCTAGATCTATGGATTCTTCCTTATAGATTTTTGTCATGAGGCTAAATACAGGTAGTGTCAGGCAAGGGAAAGAGCACTAGAAGGTTTTTAGAAGACATAAGCAGTGCTGAGGCACTAGTACCCTACTACCATCATCTTTGTGATGATGCATTAAGTCTTATAGTTTATTGTACCTTGCATTTTACAAAGCACTTCCGCAAATATATTTCAGACTCCTTAACACCCCTTTGAGATACTTGTTATCTCATTTTTATAGTTTTGGATACTGGAGCTCACTGAAGACTCTGCCTTGACAGTGAGTGGAGGAGGTAGGATTTGAGTTCAGATTTACCACACTGAGTCTCTAGCCATCACTACTATTCCACACTAGAGTTTAGCAGGCTCGTTCTGGACAATGTATCTGTGCCATGAGGGAATGGGCCTTGATGTCTGAAAAGAACCATTAAGACCGTGAACTTCTATTTTCTGAAAAAATATACATTCTTTCAAAATTGTATTTTGAAAATTATTTTAAAATAACCATTAGGAAAAAAAAATAACCATTAGGGAATTACATGATGGATCGAAAGAGGCTTCACTAGGAAGCCAGTCTTCATGGAATACATACTAGTTGTACTGAATTCAACAGACCATTTTTGCACACTTTGCATTTAACATCCATTCAAAGTAGATATGTTCGTAACCATGAGATTCATACTCTCACAATTATTACTGTAAATAGTATCATTTTAAAGCTATAAACCTAACAGTGCAAACTACAATTAGGAGAGAGAAAACAATAGCTACACTTGGCATTTTTCTGAAACAAAAGCCTTAGTCTTGGTTCTAGCCATTTAGTTGGAGACGTTGCACATTGTGCAAAAGCTAAATTGTGGAAAATTGTTTATTTTCCTGATTGCTTTTAATGTTATGTTCCTGGATGAGAGCCAAAGAATCTAGCATTTTTGAGCACCTACTATGTGCCAGGCACTCTCCTACATATTATCTTATTTCCTCCTCAGGTATTTTCAGAGCGGGTACCATTATCTCTGGAAAAAGACTCAAAAGGGTTAATTAATTTGC